TAAGCTCCTTTTTCCATCATTTTATCATTTCTTCAACCAAAACACTAGCAAACACATTAAATTTGTTCTATAACTAACAAATTGAGCGACCAAATTAAGCTAGAATGGTACGAAACTCGTGTGTAAAGCACACTCATCAATAACACAAAGAATGAGAAGTTGCATATGAATTGGAGACCATAACCTTATATATATAGTTTTCATATGTATTTAGCCCATCGTCAAATACGACCCTAATGGATCCGATTTCTACACATATAATCTGGCATACACTTTATTTAAATACTCTAAACCCAACCATTTAATTTTTTATTAGATCACTTTAATTGATCTTAAGTTTGAGATAACTTTATACACAATTAATTATGAGAAAATTACATGAAAACATGCATTTAAATTTCCAAATTCACAAATCAAGTGTAAAGTTTATTTTATCAAAAATCAGGTGGTAATTATAGTTTATAATTATAATTATTCAAAATTTAAAACCATAATTTATCATTTTCTTCCCAACTCTCTAAGTCTCTTGTCTCTCTCTTGTCTCATCCCTCTCTCCCTCTATCATCCTATAGTCGCCGACGCAGGGACAACAACGGATGAGTAAACGTCGTCGGTCGATGCTGTGAAAACCGTGATGGGTCGTCGATGCCGCAGTATCGCGATGTCACCGCAAAGTCGATGCTGCCATTCGCAGCAGCATCGCGTCGACTGATGCCAGAGACTCATCATGGCGCATCAACGGCTTTTACAGATCTATTATTTTTCTTCTTTTTATCCTTTTTTTAATGCGGTTGGGTGCAGTTGTAGTGTTGGTGGTGTTATTGTGGTGATCGATCCGTTGCTGTGGCGGTGTTTTTGAGGTGATTTTTGTGATGGTTGGTTGGTGGTGTATTTCGAATGGTGGTGATGGTGTTTACTGTGACGATGACTGAGATTGGTGGTGGTGGTGCAACGGTAGTGGTGGTGCGCGGTGGTGTTGTGGTGGTGGCGACGGCAATGG